AGGAATATTGTTTCTTTTTCTGGCACTAGGTTTTTAACTCAGGGCCTACCACTTGCTTGGCTTGCTTGCTTGCTCTACCATTTGAGCCCCACTTTCCTGCCCTGCTTTTTACTAGTTATTTTGAAGATGATATCTCTCCAACTTTGTTCTGCCCAGGCTGGCTTCAAACCTTAATCCTCTGAATTTCAGCTTCAAGAGGGGCTAGAATTATAGCATGACCCACCAACATCCAGCTTAGGTTTACTTTTGCAACATTAATTGCTGTTTTAACATTAAAGTTTATTAATAAAGTTTTATACATTTTCCAAATACAAGTTGACACTTTTTGTTCAAAATGTTCATGGAAGACTTAAAGCACTATTGGTGAAATTCTGTGTATGTTGTATTTTATAGAATCCAGTGACCTAGGGAAGGAGTGAAAGTCCCCAGAATATGTTCAACACAAGTGGTTGGGGAATGGAAACCCACTGGGGGGCAGTATATAACTTGTCTAATATATATCTTGTCCCCAAACAGGCATATTACCAAAGTACAGCTTGTCGTTTTGTAGTATCCCATGCTCCATTTAAAAATAATTTAAAGTAAATATTATTTTAATTTTAACAAAGGATACAAGGAAATTTACATTCAAATTGTTTTCTATTGAGGATATAGACTGAAATTATTAAATAATGGTCAACATGCAAATAGATCTTCTAACTCTAATCAAAACGAATTCTATGAAGTCAACCAAAAGTGGATCGTATCACTGTAAAGAGTTTTGAAGAATGAGGTATTATATCAACAAACAACACAGTTTGAAGTATATGCTTCAGTGCATATTAGCTACAAATCATCCATTAATTTCTTTGTTTCTAATCTATTTTTTATTTAACAATGAGGTAACAAAATCTAGCATTCATAGAACCTGGCATATTGTAGAAATCAACAAATTGATCAGTCAATTGGAACTGATTTTTGTGAGGCTGAATTGCATAATGAAAGGCTTTGAAGGTAGAATCCCTAGCTGTGGTGGTGCATCTCTGTAACACTTTAATAAGTTAATCTTTTAGATATTTATCTCATATCAAAAATAAGGTATTACTTAACCTTGGAAGGTTGTTTTGACATTTAAATGATTAATGTAATTCATAAAAATCACTTTAATTAAGTGTCAGATCTTAGGCTCTCAATAAATGTTAATATTGTTAAAATCACAATTAGGTCACTTGTGAGCCTTTTTTTTTTACATTTCAATAATTTTATTGAAAGGTACTAAACAACAGTTGGTCAGGTTACATCTGCCAACTCAAAGTTAGCACTGATGTTTTCAAAATGTTGAAATGTATCAGCCCTTTGGGGAAAACAAAAGGTTCCCCATAAAGCCTGGTCTACAAAAGTTAAAGATAGCCTACACTGTGGGTCTTTGGTTGTTTTTTTTCAACATTCATTTATCCATAATATGTCAGAATTGCTAACGGCCATTCTGGAGGGACTCTGGCTATGTGTGTACTATCTGTAACATGTCCTAGATCCCCTTACATCCACCGGCTGACAGAAACAACCTTCACTACTACTACCTCTGCCATCTCTTAATTATATGGGTGCTGACCTTTCTTAAGACAGAGAAGGTTGAAACTTTAATAAGTAGTGTAAATTAAGCTTGGCATAATGGTATATACCTGTAATCCTACCTACTAGTGAGGCTGAGGCAGAAAGATTCCAAGTTCAAGGCCAATTTGTGCAAATTAGTCAGACTGTCTTAAGAAAAAAAATTTAAAAAGGTAGATAGTTCAATTGCAGAGCCCTTGTCTAGCATGCTTGAGTCTATAGGCTCAATCCCCAGTACCACTAAAAAAAAGTAAATTTTTCAAACCATTGTCAGTGTTGTCCTTACTATGAATTGTAAATCATTATTTTCTTATCATTAGACTAACAAAATTTCTGATGAAAATATGTTTAAGAATCACTCCGCAGAACTCATTGCCACCAAGAACAAATTGAATTTGATTTCTGCCATTAATAATTCACAATATATTAAGGAAGAGGAACATTACAAATAGTTATACTATCTATAACAAATCTTATATTCATTGGTTTGACGAATAGCACAATCGTACAGATGAAAAAGAACCACAAGAGATTCAAGAAAAAAAATTGAAGGTTGCCAGTCACAGGTGTCTCATGCCTGTAATCCTAGCTATTCAGGAGGTGAAGATCTGAGGATCGCAGTTCAAAGCCAGGTTGGGCAGGAAAGTCCAGGAGACTCATCTCCAATTAACCACCAGAAAACCAGAAGTGGTGCTGTGGCTCAAGTGGTAGGTGCTCACCTTGAGCTGAAGATCTCAGAGACAGTGCCCAGGCCCAAAGTTCAAGCCCCATGACCAACAAAATTAAATTGAAGGTTAAGATTTTTAGATTAGATTAGATTGTGAATTTTCTCACTTAGCTAAAGCAGAAAAGATAATTATTAGTGTTCACTTACCACATGCCTTACAGCTCTGTGTATTATAATTTACTTAATTCTCACAGCAGGAGGTATTGTTATTCTTGTTCCACAGATGTAAAGACCCAGCACAAATAAATAAGAGCTATTTGCTTAAGGTCATGCAGCTATAGGTAGTTGTAACAAATATTTGCACTCACATAGTTTAGTTCCTAAACTCAGTTTTAAAAACACTGCATAATAACACAGGGCTACATCCTTTAATTTAACATTTAAGCATTCTAATGACATGATTAGCTGAAGAAAGCAATACCACTTAAGATTTTTAATTTATTCAAATAGAGTGGCTGCTAAAGTTCACAGAATTTAGTGCCTTAGATAATATGGTAACAATGTAAAAATGCATGGAATTGCAAAGAGTGATTTGTGTCTGAATAAATGCAGAATCAAATGTTTTGGTTTTAATTAGAATAAGGGAAGGGATTAAAGAAAAATCACCATTTCTTTACATTATTGTGTTTATAAGATCTTTTCAGCCTTCAGTAAGGCAGATTTACATAGCAAATCATTGACTCTTTTCCCATGAACTTTAAAAAATGATAGTATATAGAAAAAAGACACATGTTTATGAGTCTCCTTGAGCTAGCTGTTATTAGAGACATACCATAATCACTTCTAACTATTGCTTGTTTAGGTAACTCACCCAGCTTATCTATTTCTATAGCAGTACTGTTATGTAAGTACAATGTCAACACAGAAACAAATGATTATTTAGAAAAATATGTTGGATCAATTTAAAAATTATTCTGAGCCAGGCACCAGTGGCTCACACATCTGTAATCCTAGCTAGTCAGGAGGCTGAGATCTGAGGATCATAGTTCAAAGCCAGAATGGGCAGGAAAGTCTCTTGAGACTTTTATCTCAAATTAACCACCAGAAAGCCAGCTCAAGGGGTAGAGCGCTAGGCTTGAGCTGAAGAGCTGAGAGACAGAACCCAGGCCCAGAGTTCAAGACCCATGACTGACCCCCCCCCCCCCAATTCTGAAAACAGGTTGATACTTATTAAAGTTAAATGAGCCTTAACCATGAACTCTGTCAGCTCAAAGTTTAATCATGCTATATACATTTTATTGAACCAGAAGTTAGAAATTACCCACATTGCAGTTCTGTGATAAGGTTAAAAAGGAATATAGACAATAACCACAGTTACTGTTAGCAGAAATTGTCAGCTTGTGGGGGGCGGGGGGAGAGGGGGTGTGTTTGTTGTGGAGATGGGAGGGAATGGATGGTGGGGGAAAACAAAGGAGACAATGCTCAATAGGAAATGTACTCATTACCTTGCTCATGTAACTGTAACCCCTCTGTGCAGCAATTTTACAATAAAAAAATGTAAAAAAAAAAAATTGTCAGCTGGGTTCAATAAAATATCAGACATTGATATTTTTCACTTGAGATCATATCTACTTAAGAAAATGTTTAGAAAGGAGCATTAAAACTATGTAAAATGAATTTATTTTATGTGATAACTCATTTTCTCATTTGAAAAAAATAGCTTGTAAGCTGCTTTTAGTCTACAGATAATTATGAGTTAAAATTAATATAGAAGATCTGCAGACAGCTCAGTGGTAGAAAGCTTGCTTGATAAGTACAAGGCCTTTTGAGTCTCAGCACCAAAAAAAAAAAAACAACCCAGATTAATAAAGAAGTATTAGATTTAACTTTCTATACCTTTATATAGACTGAACTCCTGGAAGACAGTGTCCATTTATAATTCCTTATTTCCCCCATAAGTGTCCTATATCTATTATCGTTGAGTTATCAAGAAAAATAAATTTAATTTTTGATAATTACAAAAACTTTTAATATGTTCCTTACTAAAAATAGAAGCTTTATGTATGAATCCTTTTATGAAGTTAAATACTAAGTAGGTAATGCTGCATATGTATGCTACAAATTGGATTTCTTTAAGAATATGATGTTTATTTTTCCATAGTGATTTCTGAATGCACAAATTACAAGGTGCACTTTGAAGGCAAATGTTTATCTTCTTCTAAAACTTTGGATTTTGAATACTGCCAAGGGCAGCCCATTAGCAGTGTGCAGAGCTGAAGGGACAGAAAAACCTTGTTTCTTAAGCTACTGAGGGTATTTTCACATTAGGTTGAGTAGAGGATATAATCTTGAGATTTAGTTCCTGACTGCAGAAGTCATTGTTACAGGTAAGCATTTTTTCTCCCATGTGGATCTTATTATTAATTGTGAATGCTGATTTTAATGAATAGCAGTATGTGGCTTTTTGCCTGATTTGATTGCAGTAAATTCTGAAACGTATAAAGATTGTAATAGTTTGCGTCTTACATAAATAAGATAGCATTTGTTAATGTGTCTCTTACAGGTAGTTACAGTTTAATGTTTGCTCTTACTGGGGCTTGTTTTGATTCATCATTTTTATTTGACTCACTAGCCACCATCTGTTAGTTATAATTTAACTTTCAAAGCTCCGTATAATTTGGTTTTTGTTAATGAAGTTCAGGAAACAGCATTAATAAAGCTTTTTCTCTTTTAATCTTGAAAGGAAAAAAATCTATATCTAAGAAAGCAATCACAAAGAAAAGGAAAACTCTCACAAAATCACCTGCTGTACCAGAATTTCAGGTAAATTTTTCAACTTTGTCTCATTTTTCGTAGTTTAATTTTTTTTGTATTTATTTTATTGCTTAAAAGATGGGCTGAACTTCAAGAAACTAACTCATATACTTATAATGAAATGTTTCTGACAATGTTGTTTTTCCCTTGCAAGCACGAATTTAGTCAGTCTGCCAGAATTTCATAATTTTTTTAACCTCTTGTTTCTGTCTCTTGGTAGTCAAAAGAACCTGATTTTTTGAATATGCTAACCTGAGCTAACTTTTGTAGAAGCAGTTTAATAGAACAATAGAAATATATTTATATGTAATTTTATATATGAAAGGATATTATATGTGAGAAAAATATATATGAGAAAATATTAAGTTAAAATTAAATGGTCATAAACAAAAAAATGTACGTACTGCCAATTATTTTTTTTCTTCAAAAAAGTAATTGTATGAACTAACATAAATATATTAAATGTTTTTTATTTGTAGCTAATAAGCAATTTTGTCCTGGTTAAATATTTTCTATTTTATAAAATATATTTTCTCCAAATGACACTGACTTACTTTAAAACTTTTGTAGTAATATGTCTAGCCACAGACTAGTAACTGTGAAGGTATTTATAATATATAGTCTGATTATATAGTTACATATATAAAAAAAATGGATACATCTATTTTCAGTTAAAAGTCGTATATGCCAGAAGTTACTAATTGGTAAAAATATTTTTAAATAAAGTAAAAAATAAAAGTATGTTTTTATCAGTATTTTAGAGTATCCTAGTGACATTTTTAAGATGAATTGAAAACATTTCTACAAAATCTTTATATGACTTTTGTTATAGCAGAGTCAATTAATATTTTACAGTTTACCTGGGACATCCTTCTACTGTTCATTGTAACATGACTAAATATTATAGTGTTATATTATTATGCTTCTACTGATATCATACCAGCCTTTGCTATTTTTAGGACTCATTTCCTATCAGTTCTTCAAAGCATTACTAGTCCTGGAAATAATATCTTAGTTAAGACCTGGCCTGTTTCTATTATTTTCTGTTCCTATATTGGTGGATGGAGTTTTACATGCAAAAGTAAAAATAAACTGCATACAGTGTTCTGTACAGTTGCAGTTGATATTAGAAATTATGTCAATGGATTGCCTAGCCAGTATTTCTTTTTTAAGCTAGCAAAGCAAAAATGGAAATTATCAATGTATCATATGTAATGTGTCACAGATGTTATGTGAATATGTATACTCATATATTGTTCTCATGAGATGTTGCTTTTAGTTGTGTGTATGTACACCGTGACAGGACTTGTATATTTTTGACTGGCTCATGGACAAAAAAAGTTTGTAAAACACTGTTTTAAGTGATAGTTTTAGTCAGTTATTGACCATTTGCTTACCACTGGCAGAAACTTAAGGTCAAAAGTACATGTTTTGCTAGAATGAACCGTTCAAAATAAATAAAGTTCCCTTCCTGGTTCTTAAGGTATGGGTTGGTGGAGGGAGTGTATTTCTATGTCTCTGTATCTGCATAGGGCTAAGGTAGGGAATACTGTCCTGAGAACAAGAACTCTTATACCTCGTTTATAATATGTGAACCATGGTATTCTTCATAAAGAAAATGGCAACTGCTTCACAATGGAATATGTCATTTACTTCAAATAAATGAATTAATAGAATACTGATAATATTAGTTATCAATGAACTTTGTGGACCATAAAACTTAAAGCTTTGTTCATATGTAAGAATACCACTTAGTGAATTTTTTTTCTTGCCAAAAATTCTAATAATAGGATATTTATCATCTTAGATTTTATAAATTACTCATTTTATGCATTTTTTTTTTAATTTGTGCCAGTACTGGGGCTTGAACACAGGGCCCTGTGCTCTCCCCTGGTCTTTAATGGTCCAGGTTGGCACACCACGACTTGAGCCACACTTCTATTTTTGGCTTTCTGATTATTAATTGGAGATAAGAATCTCATGGGTTTGTCTGCCCAGGCTGGCTTCAAACCTCAATCCTCAGGTCTTAGCCTCCTTGAGTAGCTAGGATTACAGGTGTGAGCCACCAGTACCCAGCTTAACCACATTTTTTGTTTGTTTAGTGGGGCTTTATGTTGTTTTTGGTTGTGAGGCTTGAACTCTGGGCCTGGGCACTATCCCTCAGCTGTTCAGCTCAAGGCTAGAGCTCTACCACTTGAGCCAGAGTGCCACTTCTGGTTTTCTGGTGGTGTATTGGAGATAAGAGTCTCACAGACTTTCCTGCCTGGGCTGGCCTTGAACTGTGATCCTCAGATCTCAGCCTCCTGAGTAGTTTAGGGTTACAGGCATGAGCCACCTGCACCCAGTTACCCATGTTTTTTTTGTTTGTTGGTTTTTATTAGTCCTAGAGCTTGAACTCAGGGCCTGGGCACTGTCCCTGAGCTTCTTTTGCTCAAGGCTCTCACTCAACCACTTGAGCCACAGCTCTACTTCCAACTTTTTCTGAGTAGTTCACTGGCAAGATAAGAGTCTTACAGACTTTCCTGCTGGAGCTGGCTTTGAATCTCAGCCTCCTAAATAGCTAGGATTACAGGCTTGAGCCACCAGTACCCAGCTAAGTTTTATTTTTTTTTAAGATCAATTTAAATGTCATTTCTGGTATTAAGTATGAAAATACTTAATAGAAATATATAAGTAGAATATTTTCTTTGTCTTATCCTTTTAAACTACCTTAATACAGAAAAGAAAACTATTGATACATAAATATTAAATTCCTATGTAAAATTTACTCTGTTTACCAAAAAGCTAGTCTTGTTTGAATTGATAGAAAATATTTTTAAAGACAGTTACGGCATTAAATTGTGAAGTTTACTTTTTAAGCACTAACACATGAAAAAAGATGTCTATTTTGACCTCAACTACTTTTTATTCTGAGAATATATTTGTTGACTTTTTTAAAACTAAAAAGTAACCTTATTTTCTTCCGAAGGAATTCATGTTTATAAATACATCTAATATCTCTCAGTTTAAGAAAAATAATTATCCTACTATTATTTAAGGTATATGCTGTGGACATTGGTGAATCAAATTTGTGAGTGCATACACGTGTGGGTGTGTGTGGGTGTGTGCGCATGTGCGCGTGCGTTGTAAAGAGACTAATACTGTCTGTACTATTTTTTCCTAAGAGTTGATTGTCAGACCTTAAACATAAAAATAAGATGCTTGTACTAAAAATGAAAGTTCATAGCCAGGCTCTGGTGGCTCACGCCCGTAATCCTAGTTACTCAGGAGGCTGAAGTCTGAGGATCACTGTTCAAAGCCAGCCAGGGCAGGAAAGCCTGTGAGACTCTTATCTCTAATAAAGCACTAGAAAATCGGAAGTGGTGCTGTGGCTCAAGCAGTAGAGCACTCGACTTGAGCTGAAGAGCGCAGGGATAGCGCCCAGGCCCAGAGTTCAAGCCCTACGACTGATTTAAAAAAAAAAAAAAGTTCTTGAGTTTCCTTCTCTAAAGACCTTTTTTCAACGAATCTAGATGGGTACAAATCATCTGCATGGTGGTTAAACATATAGGTTCTTGAACTAGGCTTCACCTCTTAACTTTGTAACCTTGAGTTTACTTACTTTTGTAGGTAGGGTTGTTGTAAGGATTATATTATATTCCTTATCGTTTAGCTATTCTTATTATTTATTTTCAAATAAACATATGCTTCTGAGGAAAAACATATTACAAGTAAAAAAGTCCATTAGAAATCAGCTTAAGAACAACTATTATTGATCTAGTACTTTTTTCAGCTACTAAAAACTTTTAAAAAATTTTGGATATTTGACCATGGAGTGAAAAATTAGTCTTATTCTTATTTTAGTGTTCTGAGAGGATATATATGTGGCATGTAAGGAAATTCTATTGACTTTTTTATCAATAGAAATTGCAAAAAAATTAGGAAATATTTACAATATTTAGAATAGTAGTTTATTTAAGCATTTATATCAAGTAATACAATTTTGTTTAATTAAATTATTTTTCTATATCAATTTTATAAGCAAGACAAGTAAACAGTAAATGTCAGTTTTCCTAATAAAGTTAATTTTTTGTAAAAGGTATTTTCATTTAATATTTGAGAAGTCTAACCTATGCATTCTCCTTTTGTACATAATTTTAGTAGAAAGTTCTAGAATGTATTTAAACACTTAAGTGTTCACAACCAATGGATGCAACTCTAGGTACTGGTGGTTCACACCTATAAACTTAACTACTGAAGGTAAGGTCCAGCTTAGAACCCACCAGGGCAGAATAGTACACAAGACTCTTTCTCCCAAATGACTAGAAAAGGCCAATGCTGAAGCTATGGCTCAGGTGGAGTAGAGTGCCAGCTAAGCAAGCATTATGCCCTGAGTTCAAACCCTAGTACTGGGGGGAAAAGAAAGGGGTGACGTTGTTCAATAAGAAATGTACTCATTACTGTAACTCCTCAGTACATCACCATTATAATAACTACACACACACACACACACGCACGCACGCACGCACGCACGCACGCATGCACAGAAAAGACCCAGTAAGATAATTAAAAATAAATAATTTAGCAAGCTTAGTTACCACAACATTATTTTCCATTGGTAACCTATAAAACCTCTAATGGAATGTTCTCCTTGTTCATATGTATAGTTTATTCTAAAAGCTAATTTGCAAAAGAATTATTTGCCAAAGTATTATTACTATAGTATTATTTTCAAAAAACTTAAGGATCTTTCACATATTCCTGAAAAAAATTTATTTCTCCATGCAGCCAGTGCAGAGACTAGGGAATAAGAAATGAAATACAAGTCCCAGTGTTACAAGTTAAGACTAAAATTGAAATTAGTTTTTGGTTAGCTACTTCACTGTGTTCCAAATCTTTGGAGTAAGTCATTATTTTGAATTGCTGTTATTTAAAATGAATATTTTCAACCTCAGCTTTTTATTTTGCTGTAATCAACATAGATTTTTAAAGTTCTTTAATATTTTAAATTTAGTACATGAAAGAAAAATATTTTGTTGCCTTGTTTGTCAAAATTATTTAGTTTTCATTGTCAGAAATAATCTTTCTTTGTGGGCTCCGAAGTGTAGACATTATTGCTTGTTTGGGGATTATAAGACATTAGGAGGACTTCTACCAGTGACTAATATAATTTCATTTTAATTGCAGTATAAATTTTGGATGTACACCATGCTCTCATTGTTTTGCTTATAATTTTTATGACAAATTATAGATTATGTTAGTAGAATGAAATTAGTACTATCAACTTTGTTTGGACTTGTTATTATAACTTCAGAGTACTTTTACTTTTGCTTTTAACTATATATCTTGTTTCTATTTTTACAAACTACCTTATATTCTTTTTGAAACATGATTATCATTTCATGGAAAATATTGAATATGTTACATCCTAAAACTTTAATTAACACATTTAATTCAATTTAATTTTGTTTTGTTTAAAAAGAACCTTTAAAGAATATGATATAGTAGGAGCAATGGAGACACTGGCTTTTCTATTAGCATGTCATCACAGGTTACTTTATCTCTATTAGTTTTAATTACTTGTATTTGAATTGAAGAAACACTTGTTTTAGTCTAGGGTAAGGCCTGAATCACATTACTTATTTTTGGTCCCTTTTAGCACTAAGGTCTATAATTTTGTAGCTCTACCATGGCTTGTGTCAAGTGAAAGGTTAACATTAGTAAGAGTATGAGAGCCTTAAAGATTTCCTGGGGAATTTATAATCTCTACACTACAACAAGAAGACATCTTTTCTTGATGTTAGCATTGTGACCTGGCAGTAATCCAAGCTTCTGTGAAGCCTTTTAATTTCACCCCTGGAAGGCCCGATACCTCAGGTATACATTTCAAATTCAAGTTAATAAGAAGGAAGTTTAAATAAGATGCTTTGCTTTGTTTCAAAATGCCTCTGTTCTTCACATTAAGGTGAGATTTACATACTAAATTGATTCTATTTCTAGAACACCATTTTAAATTGAGTTTAGTTTAAAGGTCTTACTTTGTAAAACAAAGAAAATAGAGTTGTTTATGACACAGATGTGCATAAATTGATTGTGTCATATTCCAGAATTACCTAGCAGCTGAACTTAATTCTACATATTAGGTATAAGATATGCATTAGACGTATCACTAGAGACTTTTAAAAAAATTAGTATTTTAATTCAGGCATGGTAGTGCATGCCTTTAATCCTAGCACTTAAGAGGCTGGGATTAACCTGGGCTACTAGTGAGTTTGGAAGCTAGCCTTGTCTGCATACAAAGAACTAGTCTCAAACAAAAGAAAGCATAAATCACTATATAAACTATTAAGTCATTTCAAATAACTTCAAAGTAAAAATTGATTTAAAAATATTGTGGCTCTCAAATTAATCAGAATTTGTTGTTAAGAGGTCATTTATTTTAACAATTATCTATTTGAATACAGTGTTTAATTCAGTGTGCCATCCCCTATTTCTGGAAATTAATCTTTTAGATTACACTACTCAAAAGTGTAATCTTCAGGCTATTTCGAAGAACTTGTTAGCAACGCAGAATATAAAGTCTCATGTGAGACCTACTAAATAAAAATATCTTTGTTGTAACAAGATCTTCATACAATTCTTGTATGTAATGAGATTTGAGAAGCACTAATTTAGTACAATTTACTAAGCCCCTTGAAGGTGTTATTTTAAATATCTCTTAAGCTGTTGAAATAATTTATGCTTTTACCTTTATTGTATTTATTCCTTTAGATAGAATGTAAATATTTGTTGATTTAGTGAAAAACCGGCTTCTCACACTTGTAATTTTAAGTATTCAGCAGCTTAAGATCAGAGGATTGCTGATCAGAGCCAGCCTGGGCAAGAAAACCCATAAAACTCTTAAATCCAGTTATCAACCAAAAAGCCAGAAGTGAAACTCACTCTCTCTTCGCTAGCCTTGAGCAAAAAAAGCTAAAGGGCAGTTCCTAAGCCCTGAGTTCAAGCCCTAATACTGGCATAAGTGTGTTCACACACACAACACACAAGATTAAATTGCTTTTAGAATATATTTATAGAGGGATTTACCTTCATTGTTTCTGCAGGTTTCTATAAACAGCATACAAAATATATACCTTTATTCCTTGTAGCGAAATAGCTAAAATGAAAGCAAAAAATTCCTTTTCGCTTTGCCATATGTGCAACTAAAAAGTCTATGTTATGATACTAACCTAGTATATTAAGTTTAGTGAGACAGCGATACAACATCTGCTATGTTGTATATGATGCGAATAGACATTGCAAATACTGAGAAATTTGAAGTAGTCAGAGGAACTCTTAGTCTTCACTGAGTACTTTCTAAAATCTTGCTGAAAGGTCAGCATTTTTCTATGGTCTTATAACAGAAGCTGAACATATTACGTAGTTTTAGAGGCAATTACATGGTTTACCAGCCACTGGCCATCAGCATTTCCTTCATCACCAAATTTGGCAAATTGTAATACGTAATTTCTAAAATTAGTTTATTCTCCTATTGTATTGTTATATATTGCTTTCTACTCTGAAATTGTTTTTCTTTTTGTTTCCCAAGCATTACCCTGAGCTACATTTCCAGTGACAAATTGCTTAATTGGAAGTACAAATTTTCCTTATTTTGTCAGTTCTGAGTTGGAAGTTCTATAGATATGTCTTATACACAATTGTTAATACTAATTAACTTTTCTTACTCTATTAGATTAAACCATCTCGTCATTTTTGTGGAGCAAAAAATTTAAATGAATTCCCTGTCTCCTATTTCTTTCACTTAATAGCCTCTAAGAATTACCTTCTGGTAACCCACTTTTATGTTACTTGTTTCTAATTTAAAAAATGCTTCTTAGGAAGCAAATGCCCTTATAAATATGGGCTAATAAAGTTAATCACATTAATAATTTGTAAATACAGTATTTTAAAATATGGCATAAAGGTAACAGCAAGACTTGCACTTCATCGGAAACTTTTCATCTTTTTGCAGATAAAATTTTTATTTCAGAGGCCTTTTATTTTTCATAATATGTATTTTAAATAGCTTAAATTATTTTTTTTCTTTTTTTGGGGGGGTGGGTCCGGTCGTGGGGCCTGAACTCTGGGCCTGGGCGCTGTCCCTCAGCTCTTCAGCTCAAGGCTAGCGCTCTACCACTTGAGCCACAGCACCACTTCCAGCTTTTTTCTTTTTGCTTATGGGGTGCTGAGGAATCGAACCCAAGGCCTGGAGCATGCAAGGCAAGCGCTCTACCACTGAGTCACCTTCCCAGCTCCAGCTTAAATTATTTTTGAGAAAGAAGTAAAATATATTGAACTCACTTGGGAAAGCTGTAATTTTTTTAAGAACTGAAATGCAGTTAATGTTATTGTTGTTGAGACTTCACTGTACAGTCTTGGCAATTAAACCGTACTAGCAACCAGCCAGTTTAAACCAGTTATTTTGGACATTTGCCAACGTTACCAATATTAAAAAGGAGCCACACAGTTATGGAATGAAATAGGTCCTATCTGTAAAGAGGATTTTATTAAAACCTGTTAAGCTCAGTCCAGTATATGGTGTATACTTCTAATCACAGTGTGCTGTGGGAGGCCTGGAACAGGCAGATTGTAAGTTCAAGGTCATCTTGAGATACATGGCAAACCCTGCCTGAAAAACAAATTTTTAAAGAGCTAGTATGCTCATGTTAAGAATGTATACTTAATTTTATCTATATTTTCAAATATATTACATATAGTTGCAAACCTTCTTTGCTAGTACTTCCAACAGCAATAAGTAAGATTGGTTAAATTATGTATCACCACACCAAAGCAAAAAGATAATGACAACTTTCCAGGGGTGCCTTTGATTCACCTCCTAGGAGACTGCCTGATGAAGTGCTTCTTAAAGGTGATTGAATTGCCTGTGAAATCTAGAGTGAGTTTCCAGATCTTTGTCATTCTGGGCTGAAAGTTAATATTAAGAAGTAACTGAATTGTAAAGCAAACATAAGAGGTGGGGATGCGGGATGAGAACACCAATGTTGAAGTTTTACCTTATTTTATACTACGACTGAAGTTCATATATCATAACAAGTGAATACCTCTTAACATGTATCTGTGGAGTGTTCCTTGCTGTACTATTGCAGAGAAAAATAATTGTGAACTCAGTGTGTGTTAAAACGACTTCTGTTACCACGTTTTGGGTGTTTTATATTATGTGTTATCAAGCTGTGTTTTTGTGTTTTATTTTAGCTTATTTGCACTAATCTTGATGAACTCAGGGAATTAATCACAAAAATCGAGAATGAACTCAAAGATCTGGAAAACAGTAGAAAAAAATCGGTAGGTGTTAATCCCAAAGTTCTATCTATTATTATCAGCATTAAAATTTATTCCTGCTTTTTTCTAAAGCCTTTATAAAAACTTATTCTCAAGAATTATATGAAAATTTGCCATGAAAGATAGAAACATTGTTTCTTTTGTTTCTCCTGTGTTGTAGTTTTCACTTTTAATAGGCAAACTTGGTGCCATGGGCAAGAAAATTAATTTTGTTTGCCTGGTTTATATCAGGTATTATTTTAGATATTTCCCTTATATTAACTGTTTTCTAACTAGTAATTTTATCTTACAAATATTCTGACTTAATAATTACATGTATTTAATGGAAATTTATAGCCACATTAACATTAAATTTTAATAAAGTGTAACATAAAAACATATGTAACCTATTTAATTGGGCCCTAGATATTGAGATAGCTTTTGATAATTTTCACTATTCTAAATTCATAATCTTTTATTTTTATTTTTTACTGCTATTGAGGGATTGTAGCATGACAGCATTATATGTATTGTCCCAGCTTGGTAAAATGCTCTATTTTGTTACATAGTAAATGAGTAACAGCTGTTTAAGTAGCATTTATAGTTGGGTAATGCCACAGATTTGAAACACAATTACACATCAGTAAGTAAATGGGGAAGACTTCAAACATTGAAGAAAATCATCATTTAAAAAAAAATTTTATGCCTTAGAAATGTCATGGAACTACTTTGAGCTCAATACTCATCATCTACTGAAGTCAATATGTACTAAATATGATTAGTGATTTAGCAAGCTTGATATCAGATATGTCGTAGTCATTTCTTTGGAAAAACTTATTGGTAGCAATCTGAAGGGAAGAGCCTGAAATACCATAAAAGTACAACCTACTAAGTTTTTTTAAATACTAAAGTGAAATCAAATCTTAAACATTTTAGCAGTCTCACATGTAACACCCCTAAGAGTATTGCTGTAGATCTAAGAAGTAATTTTCATAGTGAAAGTAAATAATTAGCAAGAAAATATTCAACATGCTATCGGAGAAAATGAGGAAAAGTGTATATTTTAGAAATAATTGCATTAAAATTATTTTTACCCTTATTAAGCCCTTATGTTTTCATGTACACTATAGATACCTAATCTCCTGATGTAGAAGAATTCGATGTTTGATTAAAATTTACTATAACTAAGTTGGACCTGGTGGTTTCAGCCTGTAATCCTTGCTACATGGGAATCAGAAATGGAAGTAGGGGTAGGAATTGCAGTTTAAGGCCAGCCAAAGCAAAAAGTTCATAAGACCCCATCTCAACCAATGATTGGGCACAGTGGAATATGCCTGTTTTTTGAGTTATGTGGAAGTACAATGGCTGGATGCTGTGGCACACACTTGTCATCATCAGGGACATGGGGAAGTCCAAGTAGGAGGATTGAAGCCCAGGCTGACCCAGGCAGAAAGCCACACCCTACCTTGAAAATAACCCATGCAAAAAAGTGCTGGAAGCTTGGCTTCAGTAGGCATGAGGCCCTGAGTTTAATCCCTAGAGAGAGAGACACACACACACACACACACACACACACACACACACACACACACACACACACACACACACACACACACACACACACACACACACACACACACACACACACACACACACACACACACACACACACACACACACACACACACACACACACACACTGCTGCTCTCAAAAAAGTTAATGAGAATATTTTTTGTAGCCAAAAGATTTTTCAACTTATTTAATACTATATATTTGTAAAGTATGTAAAGATTAATTTCTTCACTAAGAAGGAGTATTTTTTTAAAATCAAGGTGTGATATATAATTGTTCACAGAAGCTACTTGTTTTTTAGGTAGGTGTCCATATTTCATGATTAAAAAGCATTTTGTCAAGTAAATTTGTCAAATCTTTTTTATGCTGCAGTTAAGCATGTCTTTATTTTTCCTATATTGTAAATTAGAATTTTTGTTTCTAATACATGATTTTAAGCATAGTTAATATAAGTATTTATAGGATGTATTATAGGGAGAAAAAGACTTTGGTTCTAGGGATTTTTTTTGTAAAGCCACCCATATCACTTTCCTTGATGAAGTGGACTTAGGACTAAGTATCTCACTTCCTTTATAGTATCAAATAGAAGAAAAGTAAAAGGAAACAAAACCATAAATACAGTGTACCACTTAACTGGCATGTTTGCTAGAAAACTTTTAGATTATACAGAGTTTAATTGGTCACATTTTGTTTCTCTAAATTTATTCATAGCCCCTAATATTCATATATTGGTTTTAAAGTATGCTTCTTACTCTTCAATAAATAGAAATTTTTGGAACTGTTCTTACTGAGGTTTTCAACCTATGACCTTTTTCACGTTGGTGTAAACTGCCTACAAGATTTACATGAACAGATTATCTTTTTCTTTTTCTTTTTTGTGTCTGTCATGGGGCCTGAACTCTGGGCCTGGGCTCTGTCCATCAGCTCTTCAGCTCAAGGCTAGCACTCTACCACTTGAGCCACAGCGCCACTTCTGGCTTTTTCTGCTTATGTGGTGCTGAGAAATCAAACCCAGGGCCTCATGCATGCAAAGCAAGCACTCTACCATTGAGCCACCTTCCCAGCCCTGAACAGATTATCCGAACCAATGAAATAATCTCACAATGTAAAACAAAGACAAAGTTTATACTTCATTATTATTCTCTATTTTTATACAATCTGATATTGAATATGCTAAATGTTCGTTAATTCAAATAAGTTTATTGTGTATTTGTATTAACATTTAATACCAATTCATTTGTTAAGGTGTTCCACTTAACTGAATTTTCTAAAAATAACTGAAATTTAAACTTTTACTAAAATCCTTATACAGTTAATAGAGAAATTCTCTGCCTCTCTGCATTGTTTGTATTTTTGGTTTTTCTTTTCCTTTGTCTTTCTGCTTTGCCAGGCTGTCTGTCAATTGTCATTCTCATGTGTTTTAATACATTTGCCCTAGCTGATGTTCTGTGGATTAAGAAATCAGGTAACCATTTTTACTAGAATTTGACTCAGTGAGGACCCAAGGGACTTAATGATAAAATGTATGAACTAGATAATAGTGGTAGCTGTTTTGACTTATTCCTTGTCTTGTAGGCTTCCTTCACTATTGTCAGATAAAGGAGGTTTTAATATTGCTCTCCATAGGAAGATATAATATTAATGTCAATGTTAAATTGCTATTCATCATTTACTTTCATAATCTCAAACAATGAAAAGAAGACATGTTCCATTCAAATATTTCCTTGTCATAAATGTCATTACTCGTGAAGGGAATAGAGATGTAATATAGATTCATATAAATACTTAGCCACTTCAGAGCTTTTCCAGGTAGTTTTTCCTGAGGAAGACTGATTGATCCCATTTTCTCACCTAGATCAACATTCCATTAAAAAATTATTTTTATCCAGGCACTGGGGGCTCAGGCCTGTAATCCTACCTAGTCAGAAATCTTATCTGAGGATTGTCATTTGAAGCCAGCCCAGGCAGGAAAATTCATGAGACTCTTATCCCAATGAACCACCAAAAAGCCAGAAGTGGAGCTGTGGGTCAAATGGTAGAATGCTAGTCTTGAGAAAAAAAACAAACAAACAAACCCGGGGCCAGGGCCCAGGCCCTGAATTCAAGCCCTAAGATTAATATGGGGGCAAAGAAGAAGGGGTTGTATTTGTTTGTTTGTTTTTTGTGCTAGTACTGGGACTTGAACTCGGGACCTCGCATTCTTGCTTAGTGATCTTGCTTATGGTTGACACTCTACCATAGGAGCCATAACTCCTGTTTCAGCTTTTTGCTGGTTAATTAGAGATGGAGTCACAAGAAATTTTCTACTGGCTTTGAATCACCATCTTCTAGATCTCATCTTCTTATGTAGCTAGGATTATAGATATGAGCCACTACCAGCACCTTGTTGTTGTTGTTTTAAAAATTAACAGATTTTGGACTGGGAAGGTGGTAGAGCGCTTGCCTTGCATGCATGAGGCCCTGGGTTCGATTCCTCAGCACCACATAAGCAGAAAAAGCTGGAAGTGGCGCTGTGGCTCAAGTGGTAGAGCGCTAGCCTTGAGCTGAAGAGCTAAGGAACAGTGCCCAGGCCCAGAGTTCAGGTCCCACAACCAACAAAAATAAATAAATAAATAAAAAGTTAAAAAAATTAACAGATTTTGCTGGGCACCAGTGTATTACCTGTAATCCTAGTTACTCAGGAAGCTAAGATCTGAGGATCATGGTTTGAAACCAGCTCTGGAAGAAAACTCTCTTTTCACCAAAAGAACTCATCTCAAATAAACTACCAAAAAACAGAAGTGGAAGTGTGGTAGAGTGCTAGTCTTGGGTAGAAGGAGCTCAGGGACAGTGCCAAAGCCCTGAGTTCAGGCCCCAGGACACATACAAAAATTAACATTTTATATTTCAGAGCAGTTTTATATTTACATTAAAAAATCTTTCTTTAGGAGCTGGGAAAGTGGCTCAATGATAAACTGCTTGCATGCATGAGGCCCAGGGTTCGATTCCTCAGTACCGCATAAGCAGGAAAAAGCCAGTAGTTCTGTGGCTCAAGTGGTAGAGTGCTAGCCGTGAGCTGAAGAACTGAGGGATAACACCTAGGCCCAGAGTTCAGGCCCATGACTGACCAAAAAAAAATCTTTCTTTAAGCTTCTCAGAGGTTTTCTCATTGAACTGTTTATTACAGTGGAAAGATATACAGTCTTTTTTTTTTTTTTTTTTTTTGCCAGTCCCGGGGCTGGAGCTCAGGGCCTTGGCACTATCTCTCAGCTTCTTTTGCACAAGACTAGCACTCTACAACTTGAGCCACAGTGCCACTTCTGGCTTTTTCGGTTTATGTGGTACTGAGGAATCAAACCCAGAGTTTCATGCATGCTAGGTGAGCACTCTACCACTAAGCCACATTCCTAGCTTTTATATATAGTCTTTTAAAACTCTAGAGTATTTATTCATTCTTGAAAGATAATTAATT